AGCCCCTGTTTAGGCCTCAGCTGGAATAAGATGCTTTATTTATCCATTCCAATTACTTTCAGAGGAGAAATTATATAAGTTTGAAAACCAATGCATTTAAAGTGTCCATTATTTCCTCATGCTCTGCATGCTAGATGCTAATCACTGGCTAAAAGGCTGCAGTGAGTGAAGGAACCTAGAATATAAAACAATGTAGATGTTGAATTTTAGTTAGTGTAATATATTTACATTATTTTGTGTTTGCTTTTGCGTCAGAAATATTTTTGTGTCTAGAATATAGATGCACTTATTAGCTCTCTGTGGTAGAAAGAGAATTTGATGGAGAGACAGTGGGAGGAGCTAAACATTAGGATAACGGCAGGAAGGGCATCCAGTGACTAGCGGGGATTATTGGCATGTGTGATTCGATATACAGTGGCGGTTCCAGACCGAAAGTTCCAGGGGCCAGGAGGGGGCCAGACTGTTTCCATAGGGGCTCAGAAAAGCGTAAAAATAAAAAAAAACAGGGCAAGGGATTCAAATATATTAGGAGAGCTGCATTAAGGGAAATTTCTATTCAAGTAGGTTTAATTAAAATTCTGTGTCTTATTGGGTCAATATACATATATATTCTTCCACAAACTTTTTCATGCACTTTCAAAGCACGAGGACTGTTCTCAAATTATTGGGGGTGACCTCAACTTTGGTCTAAATGGAGAAACAGACAGGTTGAGTACAACAGGGACCCAGCGCAGTTGGCAATCATTAAATGTAGTCAAACAATACATGAGTGATTTCGGTCTTTGCGATGCATGGCGATCTCTTCATCCTAACAGTAAGGAATACACTTTCTTTTCTAATGTCCATCATTCCTACTCTCGTTTAGACTATTTCTGATGTCTCAGATGCTGTAATCCATCCTATTGCTGTCAGTGATCATGCTCCTGTTACTTTAACCCTAATAGATAAAAAAAAATAGCCCCACAAAACAAGAGATGGAGATTAAATATATCACTGCTTAAAGATGAAGAGCTTCTCAAATTTTTTAAGGAAGAGTGGGTATCATACTTGGTGTGCAATGATTTCCCAGGCACATCAGCATCTATAATATGGGAAGCAGGTAAAGCAGTGACAAGAGGTAAAATTTTTCATTCTCATCTCATAAAAAAAAGTTAGAACAAAAAAAGATCCAGGAATTAGAGGGGAAAATAAATACAAAGTGCTAACCTGTGAAGGTGTAAGCAAGCATCTGCCATAGGTGTTAATGTCCATGCCCCCCCCCCAGCCCAACAGGCCACGAGGCACCCCGGCACACCAGAGGCCGTGGCAGCAGGGGCAGACAGCCAGGCGTACACCGGCCCAGACCCCAAGCAGTACTCCCCACAGAACCCGAACCCCCGAAACCCCACCGGGGCCCCCGCCCAAGGGCAACGCGCCCCTGGGATCCCAGACCCCAGGACCCACCCCAGACCCACCCAGCAGTAGGGCCGGGCAATGCCCAAAAACCCCCGAACGACTCCCCCCCGACACCGGTCCCACAACACCAATCCGAAGAAGAAGAAAGCCACACAACACAGCAAAGCACAAATCCTGAGCCCCACTCCAAGCTGCTATTCCTCCGCTCACACCCCCCCGCCCACAAAAAAATAAAAAATAAATAGATTCGTTAGGTTTGTTTCATTTTCATTGGTATTTTAAAAAACCATCAAAATAATAAGTTTAATCCAGACAACTTCTTTCTTTGTGGTTTCTTTGTGCTGCACCAACTTGTTGTTCACCACATACCAAAATAAATATTTCTTGTTGATGATGCAAAGTTAAATCTGACACTGTTACCATTAGTTATAAAACTAAGAAAATGAAGTCTAAGGATGTTATCATCCAGAATTTTAGAAAAATGTTCCTTTAATAGGGTAGAGCAGTAAAGCTTCTGTCATTAAATTTTTTTCCTGCATTACTTTTTAAAATGGGACTTTTACACTTTTACTGAAGTAAAAAGCTGAAATTGATCCATGTATACCTCTACTGGAGTAATAAACAAAAATACTTTTGAAACTCTGGTTACCACCCACCTCTGGAAAGCGTAATGTTCCTTAAAGCCAATTAAAATACCAGCAGGGAGTCCTTAAACTCTGCTTTACTTTGGTGCAGGATTGATTGGAT